GGGGGGAAATGCAGATCTGTCCCTCACAGAGGAGGGAGAGCTTGCACCTGAATAAAACTTGGTCTTAAAGGTGCCACTGGACTGTTTTGGGTTCCTTGCTATGGGGGGGGGGACGTGCAGATCTGCCCTCACAGAGGAGGGAGAGCTTGTACCTGAATAAAACTTGGTCTTAAAGGTGCCACTGGACTGTTTTGGATTCCTTTTTTTGTCCAAAAATTTTTGGACAAAAAAATTCTCTTTACTTATTTTATTGTAAGCAACCTGCAAAACTATGTCTATGATATTTATTATCTCATTTTTTAAATTATTATTTTTAAAAATTATTTAAAGATCAGTATCTTTAAAATTTCTTTTTCTTAAACTAATTTACACAGGGGGAGGGGAATACACACCTTGTTCTAGCTACCATTTATAACCCAAATAAAAACCAATATTTCATTTAATTTAATTTAATCATGTCTTCCATCTTCAGTCTTCAGGATCAATATAACTCCTATAAATTGTGAAACAATGGTCCCCAACCATATCTTAAAAAATAAACAAGTTAACCAACTCCAACATCTTCTTCTATCATTTCATTGCAGACAAAATCTGTATACAGTTTCTTCACGATGTCCATCCCCATATCAAAAGCCATCATTTAACAGAGTTAAATATATATATATTTATATATATCATAACATAATTTCAAATTTCCCCCCCATCTTTCTGTTTCCTCTTCCTTTTCCCCAACTTCTTTTTGATATCTATCCAACTTTCTTCATTTTAAACCTGAATTCATGATCTGAGCCTCAGTCAGCTCCAGGTCTTGTTTTCACTTACTGAATGGAGCTTCTCCATCTTTGATGTTGCCTATCTGGTGATGTCCATGTGTAGAGTCGCCTCTATGACCAGCGTGTTGTCTTGACAAAACTCTGTTAGCCTTTGCCCGGCTTCATTTTGTTCTCCAAGGCCAAACTTATCAGTTATTCCGGTTACCTTTTGACTTCCTACTTTAGCATTCCAGTCCCCATTCCAAGTTCATCTTTTTTTGGTGTTAGTTCTAGGAGGTGTTGTAGGTCTTCATAGAACTGGTCCACTTCAGCCTCTTCTGTGTCAGTGGTTGGGGCATAGACTTGGACTACTGTGATGTTGAATGGTTTGCCTTAGATTTGGACTGAGGTCATTTTGTCGTTTTTGAGATTGTATCCCATGACTGCCTTTCTCACTCTCTTGTTGACTAGAAAGGCCACATCATTTTTTTTACAAGATTTTTGGCCATCCACTTTAGTTCACTGATCCCAAAGATGTCGATGTTCAGTCTTGCCATGTCATTTTTTACCACATCCAACTTACTTTGATTCCTAGATCTTACATTCCAGGTTCCTGTGTTCTCTAAGTGACAGCCCTTCAAATACCTGAAGAGAGCAATCATCTCCCCTGAAAAGTACTGAGACTGATGCAGTGATTTCAGCTCATACTTTTATGTTAAGTGAAGAACAAGACAAAGACTACTGGCTCGCAGGTCGGCTTATATTCCCAGTAAACCCCACACCCAAAAACCCCACACCAGTGATAGGTTATTTACATAGTCAGGTGTTCCATAGGTCCTTGCTAGGATCCTAGCCCACCGATAGGTGCAGGCTAGGATCCGCTCGGGCCATTGTTCTCTGAGGCGAAGCTTGGTTGCTTCGCATGACCGCGTGGCGGCCCGGCCTTGCATGCGGTCGAACTTTGATACATAACACCCCCTCCACCTCCTCTTCTCCAGACTAAACATTCCCAAGTCCCTCAGCCTTTCCTCATAGGACTTGGTCTCCAGGCCTCTGATCATCTGTGCTGCTCTTATTTGTTTATTTATTACATTTATACCCCACCCTCCCAGCCATGGGCGGCTCTCCTCTGCCCGCACTCCATTCTGTCCACATCCTTTTTGAAGTGAGGCCTCCAGAACTGCACACAGGACTCCAGGTGTGGCCTGACCAATGCAGTGTACAGTGGGACTATGACATCTTGTGATTTGGATGCTATGTCTCTGTTGATACACCCCAAAATTACATTAGCCTTTTTTCTTGCTGCGTCACACTGGCTGCTCATATTTAACTTTTGGTCCACCCTTACCCCAAGATCTTGTTCACACACACTGCTTTGTGAACTGGCACTTGGTTAACCAGTATGCCATGGGCATGAGACTCACCTAAGCAGGGGTTGCATGACTGACTTGCTTGGGTAGGTTGAGCTGCACCTGCAACACAGACTCTCCTGGGCGCTGTTTGAGGCAGCTGTGTGGGTCCTGCTTGGCCTGGGGGAGAGTAGCAGTGCCAAATGGGAGGTGCCTCTGAGTGCACTCTGGGTCCCAAACAAGACAATTCTTAACTGCCACATTGGGTTAACTTGCAAGCCGCATATCCCCGTGGATGCAGGTTTATGGAGTTTTCACTGTACTTGTTACTGATTGTGGTCGGGCATAAGGATGCACATTTGCCAGTTAAAATGACACCTGCTGTCCTTTGTTTTTATCTTACAGGTAAAAAAGAAGAGTGTGTGATTTGCAGAGTTCCGTGTCGTACAATAATACTTTCAAGAGAGGTATAGGAAAAGTTACTTCGCATTTAGAGATTTACAATCAGGATATATTTGATTGATCACTGAGATTTAAAATTTTACAGGTATTTTATCCTACTGAGCTAGTTTAATCCAACCACAAACAAGAGCACAAGGCTAGAGCCAAGTATCACAAATATATCTGTAACAAGACCCTGGCTGGTAGGGTTGCCAGCCTCCAGGTGGGGCCTGGAGTTCTCCCAGTATTACAACTGATCCCGAGCCTACAGAGATCAGGGCTCCTGGAGAAAACGGCTGCTTCAGTGGGTGGACTGTATGGAATTATACCCCACTGAGGTCCCTCCCCTATCCAAATTCTGTCCTCCGTCCCCCAAATCTCCAGGAATTTCCCAGCCCAGAGTCTTGCAGTTCTTTCCACCTTGTATCGCTATCAGGCCCCTAATGTAGATTCAACCCAACCTGGAGACATACCCAGGAAAACCATATTGTGTAACTAGGTCCCAATACTAAGTGGAAAGAGGTTTAACTTGATAATGAAGAACTCTTAACTGTTCTGCTTTTACCAGAGAGAGGATGCCACTTTAGCATTTACCAGAGACAGGATGCCACTTAAGGTTGTTAGGCATTCTGGGAACTTCGTAGTGAAATCAGGGCTATTTTTGGGCAGGAACGCACAGGAACGGAGTTCTGGCTGGCTCCCAAGTTGGCCACGCCCAGCAGGAACTCATTAACATAATAGGCCACACCCAACAGCAGAAACTCATTAGGATTGGCTACATTAGGGGTGTGTGGCCTAACATGCAAAGGAGTTCCTGCTACAAAAAAGGCCCTGGGTTTTGACAACAAACAAGGTAAACAGAATAACAAGCAAAAGGTGGGTGTGGCTGGATAACCACACTTCTGGTAACATGGGGGTGCGTCCTAACGTGCTAATGAGCTGTGCTGTCAGGGGTGTGGCCCAATATGCTAATGAGTTCCTGCTGTTGGGTGTGGCCTATTATGCTAATGAGTTCCTGCTGGGCTTTTTCTACAAAAAGAGCCCTGGAACATGCTCTCCAGGTGAATGTATCTTGTTCAGACCCGCTCAGTTACATGCAAGGCAGACTCCTGATTGGGTCACCTTGATTTTTCTTGAGGAAATTCAGAGTGAAACAGTACTGTGTTGATCAGCTTTGGATCTGCACATTGGCCACTTGGTCACTTGCCATCTCATGGGGCTGCTTTCCCCCATCATCTTGATAAGAAGGGGCACTATTCATAGGTTGTCAAAATGACAGACTCGTATATAGCATGAAATTGCTTGCCATTCATTCTCTCTCTGTTCCTGCCCAGGAAGACTGAATAGAATGCACTGCTTGCTTTTTGTGCTTTCTCAGTCAGTGGCAAGTGTGCAAGGAATGATCCTAAAAATGGACTGCAAGATTAGCTAAGTTCATGGGCAGGCTCTAAGTCACTGAGCAGTAAGTTCAATGGGACTTTCTCTAAAGTAAGTGCGAATAGCATTGCAATCTTATTCTTGCACAATTTCTAATTATTGATGTACTTTAAAGTAATGAAGATTTTGGTAATGTTTACTTTGTTTCACTGCAGATGAATTCAGATATACAGTCACTGTTTATGGGAATAGATGGGTTGTGCAGAAAATATTCCAAAGAAGTCTCACAAGTGAGTTACATGTGAACAGATTTGAATGATTTGTCATCAGGAACATACTGGACGAGGGGTCTCCAACCTTTTCCAGCCTGTGGGCACGTTTGAAGGGTGGTGGGCCCAGCTCCTAAATGGTTGCCACAGAAGGGAGAGCCAACCAAAAATGTCAGTGAGATTTTGCAGAAATCTTATACTGGCTCTTCCACGTTTCAGGCAGACGTTCTGTTTAGTAGGATGCCTTTTTAAGATGAACATATTATTTAAAAATATTGTCTTGCATAGACTCCACTAACCTTAAGCTTGTGGTGGCAGCTGATTTCGAAGCCTCTGCTGAAAGAAACCACACAGCCAAGGAGATCTCCAGGGGCCAGTCAGCAGCCCTGCTAGGCAAAAGCCCCATCTGGCCCTGCCCACTTTCTAAAAACACTTGGTGGGCACCAGGAAAGGTATCGGGGCACCATGGTGCCCACGGGTGTCACATTGAAGACCCCTGTACTAGATGATAAATTAATCATTACATTGGCCTCTGTCAGAAGAAGAAGAAGAAGAGATTGGATTTATACCCCTGGCCCTTCACTCAGAGTCTCAGAGCGGCTTACAGACTCCTCTCCCTTCCCCTCCCCTCCCCACAACAGACACCCTGTGAGGTAGGTGGGGCTGAGAGAGCTCTGACAGAAACGGCTCTTTTTCAAGAACAGCTCTTATCAGAACTATGGCAGCTGCAAGTGGAGGAGTGGGGAATCAAACCCGGTTCTCCCAGATTAGAGTCTGTGCACTTTACTACACCAAACTGGCTCAAGCCTTGGTCCCTCTGGGTTATTGCTCCTTGTTCCTTGAGCAATACCCAGCCTTTTGGGTCCTTGAGGTTACACGCAAACAAATAAAACAGACCTTTAAAAATATATAAAGGTTTATTGAGGGCTTAAAAAAGATTTCACTATGCAGTACAATCTCTATAACGTAGCAGCAGAGAAAATAAAGAAGCTAACTGTCCTATCTAATATATTGTCAAACTTGGTGTCTCATTTGCCATGACTTAGGTTTGTTAAGGGGCCTGGAATGGATACTGGGAATTCCTGAGGGGTGCGTGTGGGGGTGTGAGTGTGAGAATTGCTTTGTTGTAGTGGCTGTATAACTCTACGTTGCCTCCCTTCTCAGGGATGACCTTGGTTGCTGTCTGTGCTTGCTCTTGTTGGAAGCAGTCTTAAACTCATCCCTTTCCCTGAGGTGCACTGGAAAATATGCATCCCGGAGGTCCAGCTTGGTAAAAATCTTCCCCTGGGATGCCTCAGCTAATAAGTCCTTGATTAGCAGGAGGGGGGTAGGCATTAGACATGGACACCGCATGTCCTGTCTAGCGTGAGCTGCAGCTGAGGCAAACGCTTTCCAGGTGTGAGTCAACGCACAGCCACTGAAGAGAGCTTAAATCGTCTTTACTTAACTTCACGTGCATTCAGTAGATCATTTACTCACAATCGAGCCGATAGCTGGATAGAGCGTTACATCTTTCTGATCTGGGTCAATCCTATGGCCGTGGTGAGAAAAGAGATGGGCTTCCCCTCTCCTTGTGGTAAGGGTTGATGGACAAAGAAACGGAAAAGAGCAATAAAACTCCTATCTTTGTGCCTCTGAGCTCAGGAAATTACTCTTAATGAGCCAGTCAGAGGGAAGCTTCTGGGACCCTTAACTGTGGACTCCAGTTCCCAGGTGCAACTACTCTTAAAGGTACATTAACGCTGGCTGGGGGCAGCACACCGCATTCAAATCTCTGTAATCCATACATAGTCTCAAATCCTCATCTTTCTTCTTCCTGAATAGCACTGGAGCTGCAAAGGGGGAGGTGGCTAGCCGGATGAAGCCCTGACTTAAGTTCTTGTCAGTGAACTGCTGCAACTCGTCTTGGTCGAGCTCATAGCATACAGTTTTGCTTTGGGTAATTTATGTCCAGGGAGGGTTTAGATAACACCGTCAGTCTTACGGTGATGAGGAAGCTCGTCTGGGTCCTCTTCCTTAAATACTCTGGCTAGGTCCCTATATTCTGCGGGGATTAGGTTCAGCTCTTCCCATGCCAAGCACACCTCCTCTGCGGCGGGGTGTGGCTCCTCCCCCCACTCCAGCCTCCAGCAGTGTGAGGGTGCCGGAGCTCCATTGCACATAGGGGTCATGGGCTTGGAGCCACAGGCTTCCCAGCACCATGGGGAACCTAGCCACCGGGTTCACTGTGAAAGACCGCATCTCCCAATGAGTTGACACCCCCACTAGTAAATGTACTGTGCGATGGTGGCAAGCCTTCTTCATGGGGGCGCCGTCCATCTGGGAGAATAACATGGGTTCTTTCAGTTTATGCACCTGAGCCCCCAGTCCTGTGACAATCACAGGACTAATAAAGTCTCTGGTACACCCTGAGCCTATAAGGGCCTGCACCCTAACATGGGTACCCGCTTCTGGGTTGATTATCGTTACAGTCAGATAGAACAAGGGTGGGGAGATATGCCTCACCCATTCTTGCACCAGAGGTTTTAGGACCTGTTGGCTGGTGCCCTTCACAGCTGGTCCCGGCCTTTTCCTGCCGACTGCACTTCGCCATCACTGGATGAGGAGGTAGACTCCTCCAGGGTATCGTGAGCTTCGGGTTGTAGAGCTTTTGGAGTCTTGGGCCGCTTCCCAGGTACCGTGGTCCTCTTCTCCTTTGGGTCCTTGCTTTTGTCGGGTTCGAGGTTAGGGTCTTTCTTTTGTCGGGTTCGAGGTTAGGGTTCTCAGGTTCAGTCCCGGCGCCTCCATCTTCGTCCCCCATCATGGTGTAGGCGAAGGTCAGAGGAAATAAGGAATTCTAACACTATGTCAGACCCTGGTCCAGTTACACTCAATAACTCTCACTTTGGCAGTGATAAGTTTATTAGAGAATATGCAAGAGCCAAAAGTCACCGTGTTAGAACTGAAGTCTTTTGGCGGGTACAGACGTATTACAGAAAATCAAACAGGTCCCATCCAGCCCCCCCGTGCAAAGATGACATCCACACTTCGCCTATTTGCCATGCCAACCAGGAGAGAGATACGTCCTGGTAATCTAGAGTCTGAGATGGTGCAAGAATGTGCTCAAGGTCACTTCTGCGAAAGTGAGAGGGGAGGAGAAGGGAATGGCTTGTGGAAAAGTTACATCTCCTAAAAGCAGGGCTCTTGTTGTAGAAAAAGCCCAGCAGGAACTCATTAGCATAATAGGCCACACCCAACAACAGAAACTCATTAGCATATCCAGCCACACCCGACAGCACAGCTCATTAGCATGTTAGGCCACACCCCCATGTTACCAGAAGTATGGTCATCCAGCCACACCCACCTTTTGCTTCTTATTCTGTTTACCTTGTTTGTTGTCAAAACCCAGGGCTTTTTTTTGTAGCAGGAACTCCTTTGCATGTTAGGTCACAAACCCCTTATGTAGCCAATCCTAATGAGTTTCTGCTGTTGGGTGTGTCCTATTATGCTAATGAGCTCCTGCTGGGCGTGGCCAACTTGGGAGCCAGCCGGAACTCCGTTCCTGTGCGTTCCTGCCCAAAAATAGCCCTGCCTAAAAGCAAAGGTCTCATTCACTCCCGCACACACTCACCCCGCCCAATATGGCAGCCAAAGCAAGCATAACATAGCAAGGTTTGACAATGAATTCCAATGTCATTGCTGCATCTCATTTCCCCCGACTTTTTCCATTCATAACAGAAACAAAATAAGCAAGAGCCGTGATTTACAGTGTGATCTTTAATGAAACAGCAAATAGCAACAAAGTTGAACCTCATAAACACACACACACACAAAGCTATCCAGGGAAAGTCTTCAGTCATGTTCTTCATGTGCTTTATGTGGTCCCTCTTCATACTTGGGTACTTAATTGGCAGACCTGACCTGGATAGCCCCGTGGAGTCGCCATAAGTCAGCTGTGACTCGATGGTGCTTTCCACCACCAACACTTAATTTGCAAGTTTCATCTGTGATACTAAAGCAACTTTGTTTGCCTGGATAGCATAATTATCCTTGACCCATTTTAATCTGACTTCAGACCTAGTTTGGGGATCAGGATACCCTATGCTGCCCTGGCAGATGGCTCCCATTTACAGACTGACAGAGGCAAGGCTTTATTACTGTTTCTTCCTGATCTTTTTGGCAACTTTTGACCTCGTACATCAGTTTTGTTGAGGTGCTTGGGAAAGATGGACCCAGCTCCTAAATGGTTGCCACAGAAGGGAGAGCCAACCAAAAATGTCAGTGAGATTTTGCAGAAATCTTATACTGGCTCTTCCACGTTTCAGGCAGACGTTCTGTTTAGTAGGATGCCTTTTTAAGATGAACATATTATTTAAAAATATTGTCTTGCATAGACTCCACTAACCTTAAGCTTGTGGTGGCAGCTGATTTCGAAGCCACTGCTAACTGTTTGTAAGACTATTAAATTAAGTCCATGCTTTCCCCAGCAAAGGTTAGTGTGAAAGGCTGTTTCTGTCAGCTGAGGGGATCTACACAGCCTCCTGTGATTTTGGAGGAACCAGGTTGATTTTAAACTATAAACCTTCCCCACAGATACCAGGTGTACTAAAGGTAGTGAGTGTCTAGGCTTTGGGTTTGCTGCTGTGAGGTAAATTTTGTGGTGCACAAGTAGAGTATGGAGGGCCAGCTTGGTGTAGTCGTTAAGAGCGGCGGACTCTAATCTGGAGAACCAGGTTAGGGTCCCCCACTCCTCCTCCACATGCAGCCAGCTGGGTGACCTAGGGTCAGTCACAAGTTCTCTCAGAGCTCTCAGCCCCACCTACCTCACAGGGTGCCTGTTGTGGGGAGAGGAAGGGAAGGCGATTGTAAGCGGCTCTGAGACTCCTTTGGGTAGTGAAGGGCAGGGTATAAATCCAATCTCTTCTTCCTTCAGGTAATGAAGAGTGGGATATAAAACCCACTTTATTTATTCTCAAGTAGGTTTCAAGAGCAGATCAGACAACAACACGTCTCCAGATAGACAAAAGAGAAACCTGGCCGAGGCACATTAATGTAGAGAGTAGTTTCAGCTTTCTTTAATTCTTCCATGCTTAAACAGGCCTTTACCAATTAGCTACAGGATTCCACCCACACCAGCCTGCCCTTTCCCAAGAGTCGGATTAAATGGCACCAGGTCTGCTCATTGCCAGAGACAGGCCAATTGCGTATTCTGTTCTCTGTCAGAAGCAGAGCCAAACCACTCTGCCAGGCTGCCGGGCTCTGCTGATTGTCACGTTGACTAATGTCTTCATTTGTTCCAGCCTTTGTAGTTTACTTTCACTTTTCGGCCGTTGGGTCTCATCCCTTCCTAGCCCTCTCTGCCATAAATTCCGAGGGATGGGAGGAGTGGGTGTGAATGTCATATATCTGTGTGTATGTATGGCGGGAGTTCGGTTAGCTTTGCTTGTAACAACTTTCCCATGAGAACGGCCCCAAGATGTCTGGCCGTCAGGAGCCTCTCATCCTTGGAGAAACATCTGTTGCTGGATAATAAACTTTTGTAGCGCTGTGTACTATGAAGGGGGGGGGAGTGAAAGAGGGTGAGAGGGTGAATGCCCACTGCATGACCGTTGCATTGTGGGATACTGACCTATTGCCTATGCAATACCCAACCCTTGATCTGTTCTTTAGTCTGAACAAGAGATCTCTCTTGTGCACATCTAAATCTCTGTTTCTAATAAAGCTTTCATAAAAGACTATTAGGCTGAGAGTGGACTGACTCCAGGGTTTGACAGTGGCAGAGCTACCCTTCATTCTGTCTGCTCTTCTCCAGAGCCAGGCCTGAGCTCTCCCTGCCGTCTCCCAGAGGCTGAACTGAACGCCACTCCTGCTGCATTCCCCTTCAACATCCCATCCCATCCCCCTTCTTGAAGGTGATTGGATGCTGGAGTCGCACTCCCATAGGCTCCAGTGAGTGGCTGTTTCCCCCGTCAGGGGCCTTCTGTCCATCCTGGTGCTCCGCCTGTGCCCCTAGCCAAGAGGTGGTGCAGAAAGCATCATTCGTAAGACCATTAAATTAAGATTGTGCTTCTTTTAGTTGTGTTACGTGGCCATTTTTGTAAGCCACATTGGGCTGTAGAGAGAAGTGGGATATAATTGTTTTAAATAAATATGTAAATGACTTGTGTAGCAGCTTAATGGGGAACAGCCAGCAGAAGATTAGTATGGAAGCTGAGGTGGGAGCAATCATGAACAGGGTGGAGGCAGAGGGGCCAGGAAATGAAAGGGGGAGATGTGGGAGTTTGGGGGGGGGGGGGAGGACAGGGCCGCAGTGTGCCTGCAAGGAGACGGGGCCATGCCAGAGAGGGATGGGACACCTGACTGAGGTCCAGGAGGCGACAGGAATCACAAAGGCAGCAGTGATAGCCGGGAGCCTGGCAAAGACTGCTCGAAAATCTCAGACCTTGGCATTATCGGGAAATGTGAAATAAAATATGCCTCCCAGAGAGAAGCAACCAAGAAGACAGCCGTCAGCCTTTCCACAGGAGAAAGGACTGGCTTCAAGAGAGGGACTGTCAGAGGGGGTGACGAGGACTGTGGCCCTTGCAAGTGGACAGGTAACTCAGGTGAGAGGCAAGCCAAATAATTTGCAGTAGAGGAGCAGTGGAGGCTTACTTGATCCTGGGGAGACACCTTGTGGTGAGAATAGAGAGTGACTAAATAAAAGAGCCAGCTGAATTGCAGTGCTTGGGAGTTTCTGGCCTTTGTGATTCGGGAAAAGGGGCGGGGTCTGTGTAAACTCTTACAGCTTGATTTATGTATATATTTTAAAAATGCTTGAACCGACTAATGCTAGAAAATGAAGTAATTTGTAACATTCTCATAGAATCAGAGAGTTCGAAGGGGCCCTACAGGCCATGTAGTCCAACCCTCTGCTCAATGCAGGATCAGCCTAGAGCATCCCTGACAAGGGTCTGTCCAGCCGCTGCTTAAAGACCGCCAATGAGGGGGAGCTTACCACTTCCCTAGGCAGCTGATTCCACTGTTGAACAACTCTTGCTGTCAAAAAGTTTTTCCTAATAACCAGCCTGTACCTTCCTGCCCTTAATTTAAACCCCTTATCCTCTGCTGCCAACAGGAACAGCTCCCTGCCCTCCTGTAAGTGACAGCCCTTCAAATACTTAAAAAGAGCAATCATGTCCTCCCCTCAACCTCTTCTTCTCCAGACTAAACATTCACAAGTCCCTTAGCCTTTCCTCATAGGGCTTGGTCTCCAGGCCCCCAATCATCCTCGTTGCTCTCCAGAGTTTAATGGAGTTTAACTGTAGCACTATATCCACAATATCTAAAAAGAAACACAATGTTATAATATGCTATGTATGAATGTATTCATAGTTCAAATTGGTGCCTTCCTGCTCATATTACATCTGGTACGAGTTGGGTCAGGCTTCCACTTTGCACACCCAAATATGACACTGGGTTACCAAAATTCCCAACTGCCCTGGGACCTGATTTGGCTTGGGACCACAGCATGGGGTGGGGGGCTTCACCTGTTCCTCCCACACTATTCTCTCTAGCTGGAATGGCATTGGTAGGCCCTGTTTGCATGCGTTTGGGGCCGGGGGGGCCCTACATGCCACATGTGCAGTCAGTAACTTTTAGTTTGGACCTCAGCAGAAGTTTGAGACCTGGGAAATAGCTGACTGCAGGATGATCCAAGAGGAGGAAGCTTGAAATGAGTGATCCAGGTATGCCTAGTAGTGAGATGACACACTATGCCGTGGGAAGGTCGACACTGGATTTTGCAGCCTTTGAATTTCAGTGTCTAAAGAATTACATAGCATTAGATTTAACTTTATTTGTAGTGGTGGTTTTAGATGATTATTATATCAATTTTTTTAACATGATCAATAATGCCTTTTTTCTTAATTTGTAGATTTCACAATTCCAGGAAAAACACAGAGGGCATTTATTAACTTACTTCAAGGGAAAGGTACCCATAACTCTTGACTCATTGCTTTGAAGTGTCTGGGGAAAGGTTTGGTGAAAATTGCATTTACAGGTTTTTTACGTTATATTACTAAAATAATGTCTTTTAATAAACCAACACATTAGTAGGAAAGTTTCATTAAATGTCTCTTCTGACAAGATATTTATATAGCTTCCAACATTTTTGCATATGAAAATGGTGCACTCCTTTATGGTGGGACTGCAGACAGGCTGTTTTAGCCGAGCAGTACAGTCGGAAGAAGAAGAAAAAGAACGTACACATGAAAGTGATATTTGTTATCCATCTGGCTTCCCCTAGATGGTGGGGCTGGGACAAGGAGGTGGTCAGTAGTAATAACTCACCACTGAACCACTACAATCTCCTGTATTCCCATGAAGTGAGCTAAATCCATAGCCCCCTTTCTGCCACAAAAAAAATTGTTCCTGATTTTCCTTCTGCCCACTTTTTTATCCTTCTAGTTGCCTCTGAAATTTTCCATTGTTTTAGTTTTCATCTTGATGCTTTACCGATATGTTAACAGTACAATCCTAAACAGAATTACACCTTTTTGTAAGTTAGGCATATGCATTTGTGGTAGTTTGAGGAAAAACTCTTTCCAGGCCCAAACTCCTCACATTCTGTACCCCACCACCTCCTAATTTCTATTGATGCTCTAAGTGGTTCCCCCCCATCTGAGACTGCGATCACACATGCAGTTCGTGGCACTATAGTAGTGTTACCTAAGCAGATATGGGCCCCTGCAAACAAGAACATCTGTCTCTTGTGGTGCAGTCGTCAGCCTCCCGTGTTCCGCAATGGAAGTGGAATAAACAGATACCGGGGAAAGTCCAGTATTAACTGTTTGTTTGTGGTTCGCTCTGGGTTTTCCGATGTGGTTCGCTCTGGGTTTTCCGATGTCTGAATTCTCCTGTAGCAAAGGGAACCCGGAAGGGATGTCTGAACCTGCAGATCTGTTTCTGCTGCTAGGGTTTTTGGGTTTTCTTAGTTTTTTCCTATATGCACATAACCACATATACGCACGCATCGACCTGCATTTTTAAAACAATTGACTGGGCAGCACGCTCTGTGGCTGAGGTGCTGGCAGTAATGTGGATGCTTGACAATGGGATGGCTGTGTGAGTAACCCTCAACAGGGTGTGCTATCTAGATGACATGCCCTGCAACACTTTAAACCAGTACAATTAGAGGCGCCACCATAATGCACCAAGCTGCCAGTGTGATCGCAGCATGAGTGGTTTTGAAGAAGGAAATAGCAATAACAAAAGCATCTGATTGCCATTTATCATTCTTTGGGAAGGAAAGCTAAAAGGGAAGAAAATCAAATTTAATATCAAATAATATATTTTATTATTAGTTCACATAATAAAAAGTATTTGGTTTAAAGTTGGGGTTTTTTTTAATTGGGATGCTTGGAGGTAGAGTTCTCAGAAAAACAGGCCCGTCACTGCTGGAAGAGGACAGGGTTTTCCCAGAGACCGTTTTTGGCTGAGGCAAGGGCTCTTTTGGGGGTGGTTGAAGTCCAGGAGGAAGTGGTCTTGCAGCCATTTTGATGGAGCCTAGGAGCTAATATGCCCTAAGCCAAGATAAGGTTACCTGACAACAGCATTCCATACCCCTCTTTGAGAGGTTTTTTCCGTGATGGCACTATAGATGGTTGAAAGGCACGACATGATTAAAGACAGTGAAATTTTTTTCTATCAGAGTCAGTGTGCTAAAAGGAAAGTTCATGCTGAAATGGCTCTATTATTCTGCATAGATTACAAAATTGGATGGATATTGGAAAGCAACACAGCATGTGCAGCATACACAATATCAGCAACAGTAAGCAGCATTTTAATTAACATGACAGTTACATTTTGAATTGTATTTGTGAACAATAGCTTTGTATGAGTTACAGTTAATTCCCTTTTGTATGAGGTAGTTAATTCCCATAATCACCAGGTAGAAAAACATATGAGCCAGTCAACAAAAGTAGAGAAAATCTGTATATTTTGTGTAGAAGTGGAGCGGGTACTAAACTGGGGAGAATACTGGGACAGCAGTATTTATAGTCTGCCTTTCTTACTGAGACTGAAGGTAGATTACACTATGTAAATCAGAGCAATTAATAGGATGAACCAATAATAATGCAGTAAGACTAGGATTACAAAAATTGTACTGAAAGCAAAATTATTAAATAAGGTATGTCAAACAATGCAGTAAGAACAGGCTAATACATACAACAAACGGATAATACGTACCCTACTCAGTAGTACAATGTACAGTCTGATTCCTTTGTAAAAGCACTTTCGTAAACCAAATTAGGGATGGGCACGAACTGGAAAAAAGCAGTTTAGTTCATGATTCGTGTTGAGTCCTTGCAGACAGAGATCCAGCAGTGGGTGCCTTCAGGGAACAAGAGGAAGCTTCAAAGTCTCTGCGAAGAGCATGTTCTACCTGCCTATCACAGTGATCCTTGGGAAGACTGTCTGCCTCCATGGGAAGAACAGAGTTAGAGGCGAAACTGGTGACTGGTTCATCTACAACTGGTAGCTTGATCCTCTAGGTCGCTTCTGGTATCAGAGAGCAAAATTTGGAGAAAACCTGGTGATTACTTTTTGGTTTCATGGGGTTTCATGGAAATTCTAAAATCCATTCTCTCAGCCATCCAGGAAAAGAATTTCCTGACATCCATCATCTATCAGAGGCCTATTTACATATTCCCATAAGGGAGTCCTTCATTTTGCTCACGATGACATTCATTATTTATTTATTTATATTTATTTATTTATTATTTACATTTCTATCCCGCCCTCCCCGGAGGCTCAGGGCGGCTAACAGCATATAGCTAATAAAACAGTAAAAAACAATACAAAATATTAAAATTACATCATAATTTATAACCTATCTGAAGCAGAGCTATCTAAACACAAGATGGCAGTCCTCTAAACGTCCCATTCTTGCCCATGATGCAAAAAAGTATATTTAGGGCTTTGGTAATCCATGCCCATATCCAGATGTCCTCCAGGGCGTCGATGGTATACTGATGCGTTAGTGGTATACTGGTGGTGGTGGCGGCTCCTATTCGAAAGCCTGGCGGAAGAGCTCCGTCTTGCAGGCTCTGCGGAACTGTACTACCGAGCTCTACCATTCGGCCTAAAATCATCCCCAAGAGTGTTCACTAAGATTTTGGTAGCACTGATTGCACATCTCTCACTACAGGGTGTATCTCTCTTTCCTTACCAAGACAACATTTTGGTAAAGGCACTATCCTTTCAAGGGGGTGTGGAAGCATTCATCCTGACAGTGCAAACGCTCAAGGAAAACGGCTTGATCGTAAATATGGAGAAGAACAATCTACATCCGACCCACGTTCTGATACACCTGTGAGGGCAGAGTGTTCATTTCACAGGAGAGGCAACAAAAGCTCAGATCTCTGATCACCGAGATGCTGAAGGAATCCAAAGTAGAAGTGATGATGCTGGCCAAGCTTCTGGGTATGATGGTCTCCTGCCAGGAGATCGTCCAGTGGTCAAGGTTCCAAGCTCATCCTCTACAGAGATTCATTCTGCTTGTTCAGGAAGACATCGGCAACAAGAGATACAAGCTATTTCACCTGCCAGAGACTTTGCTACAGCAATTACAGTGGTGGCTGGAGCCTTCCTGTTCCCCAATCAAGGACCCAAAACAGATAGTGATGACTATAGATGCCAGTCTCTTCAGCTGGGGAGCTGCAAGGCAGAATAATACCTTTCGATTTATTGATCGCTCATCCTGCAGAGCTGCTGGCTCTGAGCGATTTACAGTTACACAAGTTTTCACACGGGACTACCAATGATTCATAGGGGGGAAGGGAGGACAACATATAATTCTTTAAATCGCACACTTTTGCAGCCGGCTGTCAGGATCCACAGCAAGACAACGAAGAAGCCCACGCTTCCAGGAAGGTTTACTTTTATTGAAAAGCCATAGATGCAGTAACATGAACACTGTTAGGAATGGCGGACTACCTATGCGCCTAAGAGGATATAGGGCATTTGTATGCGCGCCCCCCCCCCAGCAATACCCAGTTAGATGGGCTCCTGCACGCGGGAGATGGCAAGAGTCTCTAACAGTAGCGAAGCTGGGAACTATATGGACTGCTGACCATTTCATTGTCTCTAGCCAAGGTGGGCATTAGCAATTCCAAAGCTTTGATAGGTGGGATTTGATGGTTGGTATTATGGGTTGCTGTAAATTGGAAGTGACTTGACGGCAAATAACAGACACATTTGGGCAATACCTGGCAGCAGTAACTTCCCCCTTTCTGCCTGTCCGCTTCCAGGAGAGAGAAAATTCTTTAAAACTGAATATGGGGATTGTATCAAGGCCAAATCCTAAAATAAAATGCATTTCTCTACATGTAGCAATTCTGCCCAAATCATTTCATCATTTGTAATATTAAGCAAAACAGAAGAAAACCAAATACTATACAGGAATAAATATGAGATGCTGTTAGTGATTTACATCTTTAATAGCATTCTTTTAGTTAGACATCTTACATATTATTCTTTGACTGTGTATCTCTATTCCAATAGAAGGGACTCATCGATGGAAGTAGATTACATACCACCTTCAGTGAGAAAAGTAAGTGGCTTTCCCTTTTCTATGTGGACAAGTGAGTATGCACAACAGAATGTTGCAGGTTGTTTCCTACTTTGTGTCTGGCGTACTCCTTACATTCAGCCCCATGTTGAAAGTGCAGTCATCCCACTGCACTTCTCCTTTCCCTTGCTTTTTATCTCTGCTTGTTCCTCCTAACTCCCCTCTAAAAAAAATTCCCTTTCCTTCCTTGGTCTCTCGGGTCTTCTTCTTTTCCTTTCCTTTCCCTTTAACTCTACCTTTTTCTCCAGCTATAGGAAAGCTTAAAAAGGGCTCAAAATCTAAGCCCCTTCAGGTAGCCTCTACGGTGTCTGCTAGTCAAGGTCGTGCTCCAGTTTCTAGTTCTACTCTAATCCAGATATGGATCTTACCCAACAGGCACCGTTGTCAGAAGCCGAACTATCTGGCTATCAGTCTCTTGCTGGCTCACCAACGCACAGCATGGATGATCGACACCGACCACCTCCATCGCCTCCCTTAACTTGGGATCAAGGCCAATGGCGATACCTTTATGGCAGCTATCCATACCCACAATGGGCCCTTCCTCCTCCGCCTCCACCGCCGATGGAGTGGGATCGTCAGTCGGTGTCATCCAGAGTATCTCAGTATAGAGACCCAGCATCAGGGTCGAAGAGTTCGAGGCTGACACACAACTCGTGCCCAGCCTCCCTCCGGCACCGATTGCGTCGGTACCGACTAATGTATCATCGGTACCGATTTTGCCCGCTCCATCTTCTGAGCCTTCTGAGGATTCCTCTAGTGCAGACAAACTCTCTAATCAAGGGGATGATGCAGACCTTCCTTCTCCACCTCCGGATGTTGAGGCCGATCTCCCTATTTCACCTTCAGAGGATGTCAAGTCATATGGTGACTTTATTCAGTGGATGGCATTAGACCTCTCCATGAATCCCATCTTAATATCGCACATGGTCGATGATAATGTTTTTGACATCATGCAGTCTAGCACTTCATCCTCTGTAGCCAAGACTCTCACTACTTCAGTTGCCTTGCGTAGACATGCTTGGCTTCGCTCTTCGTCACTCCCTTATGACACTCAGTCTACAGTGGAGGATCTTCCCTTTGAGGGTGCTGGTTTATTCAGTTCTACCACTGATTCTATGCTCCAAGAATTGGACAAAAGTATTAAGACGTCTCGTAGCCTGGGGATCTCCCTGTCATCAAAATACAATAAGCCTAAACAATGGTCTAGGCAATCATGGTCACACAGACCGTCCTAATTGAAATCTCCCTCCGATCAGTGACAAAGATCGCCTACTTCTCAGTCTCGCTCCTTTGGAAACAAGCCAACGTTTTCGTCCTCCGTGCAATATAAGCAGAAGACCTCAAAAAACCCTAAACAGGGCCTTTGACTCCCTTCCCATGCTAGCCACTCGTCTTGTTCCATTCCTCGACGCCTGGCAAAAGATCTCAATGGACAAATGGGTTCATTCTGTCATCAAGGATGGTTATCTCATCAAATTTTTTCAAATCCCTCACTTCTCTCACTTCGTTCAAACACCGGCATCACCGGTTCTGCTTCAAGAAGTTCAATCTCTTACCGCAAAGGATGCCATAGAACCTGTTCCAGCAGCCGATTACCGTCAAGGTTTTTATTCTCGGTACTTCACGGTTTCGAAAAAGGACGGAGGCCTCCGTCCAATCATGGACCTCAGAAATCTAAATCAGTTTATCATCTACAAAAAATTTCGAATGACCACCCTCCAAAACATCCTGCCACTACTGTCACCAGGAGCCTGGATGGTCACCTTTGATCTGAAGGATGCATACTTCCATGTGTCGATTCACCCCTCCCACAGGCGCTTTCTCAGATTCACTGTCAGGGGAGCACATTACCAATTCAAGGCTCTTCCCTTTGGGCTTTCTACCACCCCCAGGGTCTTTACAAAGGTGATGGTTGTCATAGTGGCACATCTACGTCTCCAGGGAATCCAGGTATTCCCATATATAGATGATTGGTTGCTGGTTGCGGAGTCAAAACAAGTCCTTATTCGTCATATCGACCTCACTCTTTCGACTCTGGCATCTCTGGGTGTTCTTGTAAATCTTCAAAAATCCATGCTTCAGCCTGCAACTCGAGTAAAATTCATCGGGGCGGTCATCGACTCTCTGGACGCTCGGGCCTACTTACCCCGTCAGAGAGCGGAATCTCTCTGTTACGAGATTCAACTGTTGTTCCACTCAAACAAAACCTCAGCAGTCCGTATCCAAAGGTTGTTGGGTCTTATGGCAGCCACCACATCGGTGCTCACATGTGCATGTTTCCGCATGCGCCCGTTACAATTGTGGTTCCTAAAGAAATTCCGTCCCCAAAGCCATCCTCCGGACCTACCCATGACGGTTCCTCCTCATGTCCTCCACTCTCTTCGATAGTGGCTATCCGAGACCAATCTATTTGCAGGGGCTCCATTCCAAATTCCTGCTACGACAGTATCGATCACCACAGATGCCTCTCTATGTGTGTAGGGGCACAATAGGACTCTCAATTGATAAACCGCCATATCAATTACCTGGAGCTTTTGGTGGTACATTATGCCCTCCGGTCGTTCCAACGTGCGGTAGCAAGGAATGTGGTCATGATTTTTACAGACAACACAACCACCATGTCTTACATCAATCGTCAAGGAGGCACGGTGTCCAGAGCGCTTTGCTGGCTGGCCTTGAGCATCTGGGAGGACTGCCTCCAATGAAAATCGGTCATCCGGGCTGCCCATCTGCCAGGAATTTTGAACGTCCATGCAGACTTCTTAAGCAGAGGGGGAGCAACGGACCACGAATGGGAACTCAACTGGAAGTACCTTTGGCCCATTTTCAACCAACTGGGTCATCCAGAAGTAGATGCGGACTTCTTAAGCAGAGGGGGAGCAACGGACCACGAATGGGAACTCAACTGGAAGTACCTTTGGCCCATTTTCAACCAACTGGGTCATCCAGAAGTAGATTCTTTGCAACTCGCCACAATGCGAAATACTGCCTGTTTTGTTCAAGGGTGGGAATAGACCCTCTGTCCATGGGGGACGGCCTATTGATCTCATGGACACCTCACTTCGTGTTTCTCTTTCCTCCCCTTCCTCTCATTCACTGGGTCCTTATCAAGATCCAGCAGGACAAACCTCATTGTCTCCTGGTGACCCCGTGGTGGCCTTGCCAACATTGGTTCCCTCGACTACTTCATCTCTCCAAAGGCTGCTTCATTCACTTCCCTTGGGTACCGGATCTTCTTCTGGCCCAACGGGGCCAGATTCTGCATCATGATCCTCTGAGCTTCAAGTTGACAGTGTGGAGCATACACTTTCCATAATACATGACAGAATAGATGAAGTTCTTCTCAATTGTCGCAAACCTTCCACTAGAGCCTCGTATGATGGGAAGTGGACCAAATTTCTGCAGTATTTGGTCTCTCTCAAATTGCCTCCTCCCCCGTCTGATTTGAGGTCAATTTTTGGTTTTATTTTGTCTAGAATGGACATGGGACTCAGTTTCTCTTCTGCGAAAGTTTATTTAGCTGCGGTGTCAGCACACCATCCATCCATAGATGGGTTTTCAGTTTTTTCTCACCCACAGACAAAGAAGTTCTGTAAAGGTTTCATACGTTTGTACCCCCCTCGCCGTGAACCCATTCCGGCTTGGGATTTGGCTTTGGTCCTCACCTTTTTGATTGGTAGGCCCTTTGAACCTTTAGCCACTTGTAGTTTGAAGTTATTATCGTTGAAAACAGCATTTTTGGTGGCCATTACTTCCGCTCGTAGAGTGAGCGAATTGTCTGCACTTAGATGTGACTCACCATATCTTAGTTTTTCCCCCCAAGGGGTTTCTCTCGTTTTGGACATTTCCTTTTTGCCTAAAGTTGTGTCAGAGTTTCATTTATGTTCTGACATAGTTCTCCCCACGTTTTTTCCATCTCCCTCCAATGAGGAAGAGCGCAGACTGCACTCTCTGGATGTTAAGAGAGCGCTCTTATTTTATTTGGGTAGAACCAAGTCTTTCCATAAGTCTCCGGCATTGGTCATATCTCATAGTTTGCCTTCCCAAGGGAAGAAAATTTCCTCACAATGTTTACCCATGTGGATTGTGGAGGTTATCAAACTTTGTTATACTCTGGCACGACGGCCACTCCCAGGACAGATTCGGGCTCATTCCACAAGG